TTGATGTGTTGGTGTGGTATTGTTTTCTATTGTACCAGATATTTCATCAAAATTTGGTTCTATTATTTCATGAGTGTATAATGCCCCCTTTTGTCCCCCAATGTGTGTACTGTACATTCACTGATGCTTAGCTAACCATTGTTAGGGCTTTTGGTAATTACATGATGTGAAAAGAAGTTTCTGCTTGAATAGTATCTGTAACTGACCTGTACTTGAGCATCTAGTGCAAATAGAGAGATAGTATGGTAGATCTTCTGTGATTTAAAGCAAATGATCAGACGTGACTTCATCTGGTCCCCTCTGGATTTCAGAGACAAGCTGTTAAGGATTTCACATCTAGAAGTCTAACCATTAAACAGTGCCTAGCCAGTGTTCAAAGTTTAATTAAATACCTGTGTGAGTGGGTTAGGGCCTAATAAGAATACACTTGTAGGCCTACACCATGTACGAGATAATATTGATAACTTCAAGATTTTTCAAAGAGAAAATTAAAAAAAGAGTGAAGTTGGCAAAGAGAAAAATAAAAAAAGAGTGAAGTTGGCAAATATGTAACTACATAATGTACATGTACGTGTACAATGATATGAAAAGTACCCGGTATAGAATTATGTGTAAATTAATGTACAGTCAATGCAGTTTTTTGCTCGACTGAGTCATGTACATCTATTAAAGATAAACTTGAGTTCTGGTAAAAAAAGAAAATGAATTCTCACAAAATCTAACGAAACTTACACTGAATGTTTAAGATTACCAATAAATGTCATGTGCCAAACAATTTTGGAAGAAAATGTATATTGGCTGAGTAATGAGCATAGAAAGATAAGGAAATCAGGGTAGTACTAGCCCCGACACCATGTGCGTTGTCCCATATACATCTGTCTGTGTAAGTGATTGTTACTTTACCAAGACTCTGCCAAATTTATGATGATTTTGATGACTCCATAACCTTGCTTTACACACCATTACTTACATGCTATATGATCAACCTTTCTGATCCATTCCACACCTCTTCTTTCACAATGCAATCGCATTACCAGAACTCCAGTTTATCTTTAAGTTTTACTATGCATCTCTGTGGTTAATACATGTATATATATCCAGGGCATCACTTGACATGTTGATTTTATTAGATCAACAAGCCTTATCTCTTCAATTGTTTATTGTTGATATGGAGATGCCAACCCTGGCCTACATATACATGTATGTGTAGTTTGCAGGCGCAAACCTATGTTAGTCGTAGTTTGTTTAAGTGTCTGAACCGTGAGACTAGATGCAGACTGCATACCCAGGGAGTGTTTCACAAAGACTAACATCAACTAAGTTGGACTTTAACTATGGCAAGCCGTTCATGCCACTGGTTGCTCTCACCTTTCCAGGCATTAGTCTCTCAAGGGAGGTACAAATCGTGGTGACAAATTTACATTTTTTTTAATTATTTCAATATTGAAAGAAAAAACATTATCTAAACATTTCCTAAGGTTTTTTCCCCTCTACTTTTACATCTGGTTCAACACTTGTTACGGGCATACAAATTGCCTACCGTAGTAACTTTATATTGGTTATCAAATGCTTTTTGCTGTGCTCGGATAACTCTACTGAAAACATACTGTAGCCACTTGAACAAGCAAAATTGACCTAGGAAATCGCGAGTTGGAGCGAACAAAGTTTCTCATCTAATCATTTACATTTTCCAAAAATTTCTGAATTGTTTTCATAGCTAGGAAGGTAGTCCAAAGGTTTATCTCCCAAAAGAACTAAATGAAATTGTGTTATATGTTTGCGCATTTGTTGGATGAGGGTTAGAAGGTGTCAATTCAACACCACTTTTCACACCGAGTACCGGCCAGCGACGCATAAGCCGCCATATCATTTGGTTGGGCTGTGGGTGGAAATTAAGGGAGGACTTAGTGCTACCAGCAAGCTGTGCAGTCTTGAAGAGAGATTAAGGGGGGGGGGGGGAGACAAGTGGTGCCATGGATGACTCCTTTAGAAGCAGCCTCTTGGACGGCATCTCCATCCATTCCAACTCCCTGGCCTGATACAAGCTTTAGTAAAACACAGATAAATGCTTGAATCTTTGCTTGTTGATAATCACTGTAGCTTTAAATAGGAGGTCTTTTTTATGGCAGAATTACATGTACATGTACATACTATTCTTATCCACCCCTTTCTCAATCAAAATGCATTAGACCGAGTCTGGATTGCAGTTAGTAGACCAAACACCCTTTTATTGCCTTCTGCATGAACTGTAAAGAAGAGGTGCATGATAACATCCAAATTCTAAAACGTAGATGGAACTTCAAAATATCTGGTGTACATACATATATGTACAAATTGAATTGAAATGAATTGAATTGTATACACTGTACACCTGTATTAAACAAGTTCAATGTCTTTGAAGGTCATATGCTGTCCAATACACTATGTGTACCTAGCATAAAGAAAGGTAAAAATAACTGAATACCTGTTGTATTAAAGCTGCCCTTAATCCTTTTTTTATATGGTCAGATCTGAGCTCTCACAGGGCTGGTAACTCAAAAGAATCACTGGATATTCAGTCTGTCTGGAGCCAGAACAGAATGAACTCTCTTATAACACGCAATATTAAACAAATGTTGGTATACAAATAATACACATCAGTGAGGGCATTAGTAAGAATTACCCACACGAGGTACCTTTAGAACAATCTAGTTTGGACTGTTTTGAAGTTACCGAATGTGGGTAACCTTACTAATGCCCGAACAAAATGATGTGTATTATTTGTTTTATAAGGTTATGTTTTATTTGTTTTATAAAATGATATTGTATAACATGATTTAGATAATGACTGGTCATTATCCAAATTATTTGTTAGGCAAAATAAATGCTTGGTCACATGTACGCTTTCAACCAATCATTTGATTAGGATCCACGTCATCATCTTATAATAATGTATATGTTTCATACAAAATACTTGGGACTTGCCAAATATAAATATCCTTGATACAACTGGACCAATATGGGACCGAATAATTCAGATTTCTTTTCTCTATCGAAATTGAAAATGTTGATATCCAATTTATATAACAACATCAACAACAACAACAATATTTGTATTTTGAGGTGTACCTACATGTATGAATATCAATGAACCTGTACTCTCTTCACTTTCTTGGGAGTGACGTCCGTGATCACTTGTTTAGGAGTGAAAATCAATTGATTTTAGAGTGCTCTCTAAGAAGAAAAGAGTGAATGTTCACTCTATTTTCACTACATTTTCACTCTATTTTCACTACATTTTCACTCTCCAGAGGAGTGACGTCCGTGATCACTCAATTTTTTTTAGAGAGTAGGTGGTCTGCATTCATAAGCAGGTTTTTACCCATTATGGTGTTAGGTAATTGTTCCAGTAGATCTATTTTAATAGCAGTGATGCTTGATGTTGATGGTCGGTTGCGCTAAACAATCATGCATGTGCACAAACTCAACAAGTCCCGCTTGATATGCTTGAACTAGTTAGTGGTGAACTTTAGAAAACTATCTATTGTGCTTTAGAATTGTTGATAAACTGAAAGCAAGCAAACGTGACATTGATGCTTTCGATTTAATTTACATACTGTACACGTATGGATTGAGCATGCATATTTGCATACCATACTCTGTAAAAGGATTCTACTAGGGAAAGAGAAAATAGAAAAGACGCTGAAATTCAGTTGAATGCAATATATGTCTTGTAAGGCTGTGCACAACAGTGTAATGAGGTACCCGAGTACACTCCCAGGCTTACAAGCGAATACTCGAATATTCGGCCGCCATGTTTTTTTATAATTTTTTTTTTTGTTGGTTTTTTTGCCACCACCATACCACTGGAGCAGTATCCCAAGTCCATCGCCGAAAACGCATGCAATTTGACTTCGAGTTGCAGTTGAAGGCGCCAAATTTCTGGTTTTCCTTTTTTCTCCTTTTTTTTCCTTTTTTTTCCCCTGATTTTTTTTCTTCTTTATATTCCCAATTTAAAAAAAAAAAAAAATTTCGCTCCCGATTTTACCCCTATCTTCCCCAAATTTTCTCGATCAAAAGAGGGGGGGGGGGAATGTTATTAGATGCCCCCCGAATCCTTTTTTGTTAAACTCTAGGGGTGGAAGGTTGAGGGAAAAAAACAACTTTTTGTAGTCCTCACTATCACCCCTGATAGAGAGGCATTTCTTTTTCATACAGTATAGTTCTCATGTCTATTGTATCCATTTTATGACCTTTTAATTAGAAGAATGAAGCTGTAAAAGAAAAATACCAGTGAGGCCTGTCGTCATCAGCTCAAGATTGCCCCAAAACCCGCTATTTTAACTATCCCGTCTTCAATTGCCCGCAGTTGCATTCACCAGCCCGAAGACTCGCACTATGCTCGAACGCTGATCAAAATATCTCAAGCTAATTTCTCGAGCTTGAGAATCAAGGTCGAGTCTCGAGCTAATGAAGACGCGATTTATAACTAAGAGCTTATTTCCCAAATCAGAAGTAGTGGGCTAATTTGGCAATCTCGAGCTGATGTAGACATACCTAGTGTTGCCAATTCGGAATGAACAAGAGCTATTAAATCACTACATGTATCTGTAGACTTTATGTGTAGTCATATACATGTATGCAGCATTAGTTAGCCGCTGAAGGATGTACGATGTATTGAAACTTACACACTTCTAAATAATTTACCAGGATGGAATGTAAATAATTTATTAAAGAAGCGTGATTATGTTAGTATTAGAGTTTTTATAAACTTGTAGCATACATGTGTGACAAGGAAAAGGCCATTAATTGGCTGTTAAAATACTTACACACACATGTAACTATACTTCCATCTATCTTGTGTACATGTACATATATTTGTACCGAATGTTGTGCTGTGATAGACAGATAAAGCATATATTATTCTCAATTATTTATTGTTCAAATGTAACTGATAATACTGCTCTTTGCCAGATATCAGAAAAATTAATCTTTGTATTTCTTTTGGTTCTTTTTCACAGGGGATTTGGAAAACAAGGGTTTCAGTGCACAGGTAAGATACCATACTCTTAATCTTTTCTTTTGATCAGTTATTTCCAGCTTTTGCCCAAAAATGTTTAATTTTCTCCTCAAAATTAACAGCTTTTGTTCTAATCACCAGAAGAGTTATTGTCTGTTGTTCGATTGTCTTGTATATCGGTGAATTTTATAATAATGTACATGAACAAGCTCTTTGAGAAAATTTCATAATTGGGTCATAAGGTGGACATATTTATATTCAGGACTACACCAAATCCCTGCATTCCATTCTGGCTACAATGAAATGCATTCGCATCATGCACATGCAGCTTGGTGAAACCTTGTGATTATGTCAAAGAGCCTAGTAGGAATGGTAATGATCGATGTGGAAACTGTCATAGAGGATGCAAGCTCACGAATAGTGAAGCAAGTGTGCCCTATACATTCTCTCTGCCTTCATGCAGTTCATATGGTGGCTGCATGTTTAATGTTTACCAAATTACTTGTAATCTGATTTTTAATTCTAAAAGCTGTCGTACTTCACCTCTGCTATGCCCAGTGCAATTCCATTCTGTGCGTTATTCATTCTTCAGCTGAGAAAAAAAATGTATACAAGTATAATGTTAACACATATTATTTATAGAAAATTAAAACAAGATACAAACAGTGCCATACACCTGTACATGTACATGATAAAGGGCGTAATATTAATAGCCTAAAATGGTTTAATATACAGCAGTGACACTATCTTAAAATGTAATTTCATCAACGGTATAAGGTTAGGGCCTTGGTTGCAATAAGGTTAGGTTGCAAGAAGGTTTTAGGTTTGGTTTTGGATTTGGGTTTACATGTACATGTAGTGTTTGATTTTATTGGGTTGAAATTGGGAACTTGGTTAGTGTTAGAAATATATAGTAAAAAGACTTGATTGGAACAATGGTGAATAAATCAGGCATACGTCATAAGGAATATTAAATACCATGAAACATGTACATGTACATTGATTGAAATAAAATTGTGGATTACAACTTAATTCTAATCAATGATTATAAAGGAACTATTAATGTGAGTCTTTCAATTTACTTAGAACATACTACCCCCCCCCCCCCCCAGTATTACCTGTTTACTGTTTTTATATTAAATAAAACTTCTACAGTCATGTATTTTATGATCATGAAGAAAAGAAATAATCTATTCAGAGACAGACAGGCATTAACTCGGGTGTTTAAAAGTACATGTATAGTTAACGCCCTTCTGACTTCAAACAAATAGCATTTATAGATTGAATTTATCAGTGAAGCAATTAAGAAACCTGCAACTCAAAATGGTTTCCTAACCACAGAAAATAATCCTTGAAAGTGGGGTAATTTAGAGATAATTCACACTAGAGAAGATCTGTACAAATTTTGTAAAGAAACATAGCAAAAGAGCATACATGAATACATTACAATACGGGATAAACATGTGTGTATATATGTATTTGTCGTGCAATGGTACGTTATGTATAGTGTTGTGGAGGTTATCATTAATACTTTTATGTTTATAGCTTACACTGCTTGAAGGTACAAAATAGCAGCTGGCATCGTTCATAAATGACAACTACTAAGCCCTGCCCATTTGTAGGTCTCTGTTTATAGATATATGATATTTACTTGGGTGATTGACCCTGCTTCTTGGTCATGTTTTTACTATAAAAAAGAATTCTCAATCTTCCACTTCGCTCTGTGACGTTTCTCTGTAGGATTCAAACTGAAATGAATACAGAATGTACACTGTACATGTTTGTATGGTTAAATTCAAGTTATACAATAATTTTTGCTTCTCTGCATGGCGTGATAGAATGACATCTACATGTATCTTGTTGTGTGTAGTTCTCTGATGATATTTGATACCCTTGGGATAACCGATGTGTTAGCTCAGTCAGTAGAGCGTCCGCCTCACAACCGGGAGGTCGTGGGTTTGAACCCCGGCCGCGTCATACCAAAAGACGTTAAAAGACGGGAGTTGCTGCTACCGTGACCTTGTTTGGCGTTCAACAATAAAGGATAGAGCAATGTCGATCTGGCGCTGCTCAGTGGCTGCCGGGCTCACGATCAATTGGGCAAAAAGAATTTCCATTTTCGCTTTAACTTAATAAAATTTGGAGTGGTCTTTAAAAGATTATTATTAGTTTATTATTATTAATATTATTATAAGGAATTATAATGACTGTCAGCCACTCACCCTACTACTAAGAATTTTGAACAATTTGTGATGTCTCTTGTGGATTAGGTTTAAAAATAATTTTTGTCAAAGACTGCAAAAAGTCCCATTCTTTTAATAAATATTTGTATAGTTCTATAAATATTTAAACCACATTAGAATTTGACCTAGTGTGTGGTATACAGGTGTGTACCTCATTTCTCAGAATGAATCAATATATTCAGCTACATCCTTGTTAAAGGTAAACACCAGTATTGGAAACGCCCCAATTTCAAAAAATGAAATGGTAGCTCTTATTACCAATCATGTGAAAGAATCTGTTTTGACTAATACATGATGATAAAAATTTTGCCGGGAAACCGCCTACTAATTGATATATTTGGTAAATTAGTTTGTCTATTGGTGTGTGAGAGATAAAACGCATGTGTCGTGCACGTGTGCGTAGTCCCATATACATCTTTCTGTGTACAGTGCTCGTAACTTTATGAAGACTGGGCCAAATTTCTTATATTTTGATGATTCCAGAACCTTGCAGTACACACCAATACTTATACAGTGTATGCTAGATGATCAACCTTTTCTGATCGATTCCACGATGTTTCTTTCACAATGCAATCGCATGACCACAACTGGTCTTTATCTTTAATAAAGCTTTGCTTTGTTTGTACGCATACATATACGGTAGCAATGTTCTTTGTCAAATTACCAAGTGATACCAAAAGTGAAGTGAAACATCTTTCATTGTTTGGTGATGTTGATGGGCTCAGAGCGGTATTTTGACATCTGTTGATTTCCTGGTGTACTGTACATGTACATTGTTTAATTCTGTCATTTATTGTAGACCTACAAGTACATGTACATGTATACATAAAACTTAACAAGTGAAGTCTTGATTGCATCTGATCATCAATTCAATGAGCTTTGATAGTGGTGAAAGTTACTGCAAAAGACATTTCATATGTTTCATGTAGCTGACCATCATGTACACATGTATGGCTACATCTCTAGCAGTTGTCTATTGTGTTCATCTACATCTACATGTACATGTATGTCTTGTATTAAAAGTAAATTTGTTAATTTCTGGGTGATCCTGACTAAGTGTTGATATTAAATATTTGACAATCTCCTATTCATATTAGATACATGTAGGACAAAAGGCAAAGGACCATTTAATACATGTACATGTACAAAGGTAATTATGTATATGGACGGACAATAATACATTGTACCTCAGTTACACTAATGAGGCAGACACCATTACGACACCATTAGGAACAAAAAATGACATTACCACGAATGGCCAAGAATGGGTAAGAATGGGTTGGTTTGGAGTCAGTCTGAAGATGTGACTGAGGTCTGAAAAGAGAAACTTCCTTGTATTGCATCAGCGCTGGTCAAGTTAGCAGTCGGGTGAGAAGTACACGCCGAGATGCATGCATGTATGAAATACCTGTCCTCTGTAAGGCCATTAAAAAAAATATACATGTTTAGCGTCCCCGCCCGCTTCCTTTTTGGGGGCCGCCTCCTATTTTTTTTTTTTTTATTTTTTTTTAAAGAAAAAAAACATGGAAAACACTGCTAAAATGGATCTATTTCTGATTTAAAAAAAAAAAAAATGTTGGCCGCCATCTTGAAAAATAGCCCGAATGTCAGGGAAAATGTACCGAACGGCCATTTTGAAAGAAAAAAAAAAAAAAAAGGGCCTCCTCCTTCCTATTTTTCGAAAAAAAAGGACGCTATACATGTTTTTTTTTTATTTGGCCTAATTGGAGACGGGAAGAATCGAATCGAAAAGGGCATATAAAAGCCAGTTTGGGAGTGGGATCCATTTAAAGGAGGACAGGATGAACAATAAAGTCCATTGATTGATGAACTCAATCTCAGAAGTAATCTGGAAAGTAATCGAGTTCCGCCTAGCTTTCTGCTCCAATTCCGACGTTCATGTCAGACATCAGCATATCACATATGACGGAAAACGATGTTGAATGGAGATGGAGGAACAATTGCGTTGATGCATTTTTATTTAGAATTTGTAATGGTATTTTGGCATTGATATGGAATTCAGGAAAGAGAAAATGAGAAAAACAGAGGTTTAGGATGATTACCCTATAAAAACGACTAGTTTTATGTTGTGCTTATTAAAATCACTTTTATATTGAAGGCTAATATATGGATTGAATTCACTCAAAATCTCATGAAAAGGTGTATAATTAAATTGTATGCATAAAAGTATAATCTGTTAATTACAAGCTAGAATGAATCTGTACTTCTATTTATTAAGAAGTAAACTTCATGCATGATTGCAAACATTAATGTTTGCCAATCTAATTAATATCAAAGTTAATAATTACTTTTTGTGATACTTCATGCCAACACTATGTATATAGTAGTATATAGTAGAATCAAGTTTTATCTATATCATATTTCCATTCTCAAGAAAATGTAATTTGTTCGTGACATACACATGTAGTACATATCGTCGCTGTTTTCACGAAGTGACGGTAGTGAAAAAAAATTGCATTCACTTTGCGTTACGATTTTCCTCACTACCGTCACTTCGTGAAAACAAGGACGATATTCTTCAATTTGTGGTAATCATTGATGAAGTTTTTTGAAGGCCCCTTGTTATTTATTTGACTAGTTTGTGATAACAAATACAAAATAAAAAAACTATTCCATAGAGAATAGTCTAAAAATACATTTTTTAATTTTCATGAATGAGCATGTAGAAGAAGCTGTATAACATGTTTCAAATGACATCACAGTGTTCTAAATCATAAAATGTAAAGCACTTTCTACAGAAAAATAAATAGAATTCATGAACTTGTTTGT